TCTGTGCCTATCAAGATGGCTACGAATTGCTTCGGCAATTATTGATTCCATAAATTTTCCCACTATGGAGGTAAGGCTTATTGGTCTATAGTTCGAAGCCAAGGACCTGTCACCTGCCTTGTAAATAGGAATTACATTTGCCATTTTCCACTTATCAGGCACTATGCCAGTTTGTAGTGATATGTTAAAAAGATTAGCCAAAGGTATGCTAAGTTCCTCTTTACATTCTTTTAACACCCTTGAAAACAGTTCATCAGGGCCTGGGGATTCGTTAGGTTTTAGTTTCTCTATTTGTCTGAGGACCATGTCACTAGTTACCGCAATCGTACATAGTTTATTATCATCCTGTTCTACATAATCTATTATTTCAGGAATATCGCTAGTATTTTCCTGGGTGAAAACTGAGAGGAAGTAGGTATTTAGAGTTTCACACATATCCTTATCACTGTCAGTGATCTGACCAGAGTTACTTTTAAGTGGGCCAATCTTGTCCCTAATCTTACTTCTGTATACCTGAAAGAACCCTTTTGGGTTAGTCTTTGAATCCCTTGCGACCTTAGCCTCATAATCCCTTTTTGCTTTTCTTTATTTCTCTCTTTAATTGAATATATTGATTCCTTAACTGCCCATCCCCTCTTTTGATACGCCTATATATGCCTCTCTTTTGACCAATGAGATGTTTTAATCTATTGTTCATCCATTTGGGATCATTTTTGTTAGATCTTATTTCCCTACTCGGAACAAAAGTTGTCTGGGCAGATAGAACTATGCTTTGAAAAACGTCATATTGGCAACCAAGATCACCTACCTGACCCATAGTCAGGACATCCCAATTTAGCCCACCCAGGTAATTTTTCAGTCCCATGAAGTCGGCCAAGCGAAAATCTGGGACAGAGATTTGATTGCAGTTATCTGGGTAATTCCATGATACATTGAAACTAAGTGATTTGTGATCACTTTCCCCAAGCTCATCATTAATCTCAAGATTATTAATTAGTGAATCTTTGTTGGCAAGAACCAAGTCAAGCAGATTGTTGCCTCTAGTTGGTTCTGTCATAACCTGTTCTGAAAAACAATCCTGAACCGTATCAAGAAAGTCACTAGACTCAAGATTTCCTGTTATATTGTTCCAATCAATTTGTCTAAAGTTAAAATCTCCCATTATCACAACATTTTCATATCCAGATGACTTATGAATTTCGTCCAATAACAGCTTACTGCACTCCCTATCAAGGTTTGGGGGCCTATAAATGACACCCAAAATTAATTTGTCACGTCCCTCGAGAAACTGTAGCCAAACAGATTCTGTGTTCGATGTTTCTAATCTTATATCATGTCTAAGACAACAATTTAAATTTTCTCTGACATACATCGCCACACCACCACCCTTCCTGTTGACCCTATCAGTGTGGAATAGTTTATAACCCTGTATGTTGCATTCAGAAGGCATTTCTCTATCTTACAGGTTGAACCAGGTCTCTGTTATACCAATAATATCTATAGTACCTACACTTGCAAGTAATCTTAGCTCATCTATCTTATTTCTTAGACTCCTACTATTTGTATAGTAAACCTTAAGGGAGCTAGTCACTCGTTGCCCTCTACTATCTCTCTTTGTTTGTTGATCAATTGATTTACCATTACTAGCAACTTTATTTTGAATATTGTCTTTTAAACATATCCCTGAGGTATCCCGGTAATAACTGCTGTTTTTAACCCTAATGCTGCAGCCTGATTGTTTCCCACAAACACCCATACCTCTATAATCTATCAGTTTAAATTCCTAGACAAGTCATCAATTACCCTCTCAATTGAATTGGCTAATGCAACCACTCCATCCCCAGAGAGATGAACCCCATCCCTTGCATACATATCGCATTTGCCAAAGAATAGGTCCCAGTTATCAATGAATGGGATTGCAAGTTCCTTGCAGTACCTGTCAAGCCAGCAATTTATACCAGTTGCCCTAGACATCCATTCATTGCCCACTCCCTTTCTAGGCAAAATGCTACATATGACTGGGATCCCTCCCTTAGACCTAACTACTTCTATGGCTGACCTGTACTTATCCAGCAGCTCCTCTCTCCTGCCCTTCCCAATGTCATTACCCCCAGCACTAAGACAGATAATGGGCTTGTTCCCATTACCTGCCATAATATCCAACCTGCTGACTATGTCACCAACACCAGCTCCAGGAAGACACACTCTCTGTCTGACCTTTCTGTCTCTGTTACAAAATGCATGGTCCATATATCTTACCTTAGAATCACTATTAAAATATTCTTACCTTGATTAGCAGGGGAATCAGTGGTACCTTCATCCTCACTAACCACTAAAGTACACTCGTCTTGGAGAACAGAGAATCGATTTCCTATCTTCTCTATTAACTCTCCTCATCTTCCTTCGTCCTGAACTGTGAACCACTTGCCACTTAAAGTGGCTGCCACTATCACTGCTGGTGACCATTCCTTCCTTACCAGCTAAATCCTTCTCACACTCGCTCCCAAACTCATCTATGCGAAGCTTCAGCCTCCTATTTTCCTTCTGAAGAAGTAGAATCTCCTTCTTCAACACTTGAACCTGAGATTCTACAACACTACAACAAGCGATGTTACCCTCCAGCCGGAGGGCCCAAGAAAGAAGACAGAAGAAAGAAGAAGATGACGACACCCCCAACCGGGGGCCACAGCAGGGTCACCATATGGAGAAGACCCGGGCCGGAAGTACCGGCAAACCTCTAATGAATGAATGAATGAATGAACTACAACAAGCCATGGTGCTTGGTAACAGCCCACGCTAACTCCCAAGAGCTTAGGCAGGTGAACATCAAAATGGTATACAATACCGACAGGTTGTTAGGTAAGACACATATGCAACAGTTAGACAACTTTATTCCGAAACGTTTCGCCTACACAGTAGGCTTCTTCAGTCGAATACAGAAAGTAGGCAGGAACAGTAGAGATGTGAAGACGATGTAATCAGTCCATCACCCTTAAAGTCGTAGAATTTGAGGTTGTCAGTCCCTCGGCCTGGAGAAGTTCAGTTCCATAGTCAGGAACTATCTGAAGATCAAGCGACAGTGCGGAGACTTAAATACTGTCGGAAGGAGAGGTGCAGGGTAGTAGTAGTAGTAGTAGTAGTAGTGAGAGGCAACTGAGAGGTCATGTCCCTCTCAGATTCAACCCTTCTCACTTGAAAAGCTTGTCCAAGGTGTTTTCTGTACCAAGATGCCACGTGTTGCAGTGTCTGACAAGATGAACATCAAAATGGTATACAATACCGACAGGTTGTTAGGTAAGACACATATGCAACAGTTAGACAACTTTATTCCGAAACGTTTCGCCTACACAGTAGGCTTCTTCAGTCGAATACAGAAAGTAGGCAGGAACAGTAGAGATGTGAAGACGATGTAATCAGTCCATCACCCTTAAAGTCGTAGAATTTGAGGTTGTCAGTCCCTCGGCCTGGAGAAGTTCAGTTCCATAGTCAGGAACTATCTGAAGATCAAGCGACAGTGCGGAGACTTAAATACTGTCGGAAGGAGAGGTGCAGGGTAGTAGTAGTAGTAGTAGTAGTAGTAGTGAGAGGCAACTGAGAGGTCATGTCCCTCTCAGATTCAACCCTTCTCACTTGAAAAGCTTGTCCAAGGTGTTTTCTGTACCAAGATGCCACGTATTGGAGTGTCTGACAAGATGAACATCAAAATGGTATACAATACCGACAGGTTGTTAGGTAAGACACATATGCAACAGTTAGACAACTTTATTCCGAAACGTTTCGCCTACACAGTAGGCTTCTTCAGTCGAATACAGAAAGTAGGCAGGAACAGTAGAGATGTGAAGACGATGTAATCAGTCCATCACCCTTAAAGTCGTAGAATTTGAGGTTGTCAGTCCCTCGGCCTGGAGAAGTTCAGTTCCATGGTATACAATGGTATACAATACCTGTCGGTATTGTATACCATTTTGATGTTCATCTTGTCAGACACTGCAACACGTGGCATCTTGGTACAGAAAACACCTTGGACAAGCTTTTCAAGTGAGAAGGGTTGAATCTGAGAGGGACATGACCTCTCAGTTGCCTCTCACTACTACTACTACTACTACTACTACCCTGCACCTCTCCTTCCGACAGTATTTAAGTCTCCGCACTGTCGCTTGATCTTCAGATAGTTCCTGACTATGGAACTGAACTTCTCCAGGCCGAGGGACTGACAACCTCAAATTCTACGACTTTAAGGGTGATGGACTGATTACATCGTCTTCACATCTCTACTGTTCCTGCCTACTTTCTGTATTCGACTGAAGAAGCCTACTGTGTAGGCGAAACGTTTCGGAATAAAGTTGTCTAACTGTTGCATATGTGTCTTACCTAACAACCTGTCGGTATTGTATACCATTTTGATGTTCATCTTGTCAGACACTGCAACACGTGGCATCTTGGTACAGAAAACACCTTGGACAAGCTTTTCAAGTGAGAAGGGTTGAATCTGAGAGGGACATGAGCTCTCAGTTGCCTCTCACTACTACTACTACTACTACTACTACCCTGCACCTCTCCTTCCGACAGTATTTAAGTCTCCGCACTGTCGCTTGATCTTCAGATAGTTCCTGACTATGGAACTGAACTTCTCCAGGCCGAGGGACTGACAACCTCAAATTCTACGACTTTAAGGGTGATGGACTGATTACATCGTCTTCACATCTCTACTGTTCCTGCCTACTTTCTGTATTCGACTGAAGAAGCCTACTGTGTAGGCGAAACGTTTCGGAATAAAGTTGTCTAACTGTTGCATATGTGTCTTACCTCACAGCTTAGGCAGGTATGACCACACGTGACCACTGACCTCAGCGCACTGACCACTGACCTTGATTTCTATGCTACCTTATAATTATTGTTATTATTATTATTATTATTATTAGTATACCTTAATTCAAATGCTCGAAGTTCCTTCACTATAACTGGCTTTATCTGACCTATAGGGTTGCCCGGGAGCGCAAGTCAACCTCACTTGTCCAGCTCATAGTTTTTTCTTCTTCGGAGCTCAACACCAGCCAACAGAATGGGTAACCCTAACCTGTAGTCTGGGTTACTGGACACTAACATGGCCGAAGGTGAACCAGTCTGAACATCTTCTAAATGGGTGTTATCAGGGTAAGTATGTTTGCCATGGAAGATGTTGATGCTAGGATTAACGAATTCACACCAGGGTGCTTATTTGCCTTACCTGAGTGTGTGTGTGTTGGTGATCTGAGGATCTGTGTTGCCAGGTGTGTGCATACTCACATATATGTACTCACCTATATGTGGTTGTAGGGGTCGATTCACATCTCCTGGCCCAGTGTGTGTGTGTGTGTGTGTGTGTGTGTGTGTGTGTGTGTGTGTGTGTGTTGTGTGTGTGTGTGTGTGTGAAAGAGAGTGTGAAAGTCAGAGTAAGAATACATGAGAGACAAACTTATTTATATAAAAAAGAAGATATAAAAAATTCCAGTGTTGTTTATCAGTTCACCAAACAACCACCGTCACTTACAGAGTCCAATTGCTCCTGGGAATACACCTGGAAGCAAAAGGTAAATATGACGCTAGGTGCTGAGGTGGAGCTCTGGCTACGCTCGCCGGACGATTACAACATTACGCGCTTGCTCGGGGTTTCGAACCTGTCACTGAACGGCACTATCATTGTTGAGGTGAGTGGTGAGGCAAATGTAAGTCGAAGCAAATTAAAAAAAAATAGACTCTTTACCCAAATACTTTTAGTATAAAACGGTTCCAAAGAAGATAATCCTACTATTATAATTATGTAAAGAATGTTTGCATGATATAGATTATGTTACGTAAAGATAGGAAACACAGTAAGCAGAGTCAGGCTAAGGAACATTTGCTACAACAAATATGTCAAAACCCTAGATCAGTCCACAGTCTTCCCTGTGTTTAATTCATCACCGTGATAGTGTAGTGAAGAAAATTCACACATATTACAACATGCATTTACTAATGCAACTTTTTGACCTCTTTAGAGCCTAATCAAGTCATCATGAATCAATAAGGTTCTACACAGAGCGATTTGTTGCCTTGTTAAAAGTTTACTTTGCGACATATCTTCTTCACCGTTGTCGTCAGTACACTGATATTAGTTGAGGAACATTAGCACGATGTTGCTGTACCCTGTGTCGTTATGTTAAACAAAATAGCACCGGCCATTATGATCAAGAGGTAAACATAAGCTTTAGGCGAACTGATTTTCCACTCAGTTGTAAGCCGAGAGATGAGAAGAGGACGAGGGAGAAATGAAGTACGTCCTTCATGGCCGCTTACTACTCCAGCCAGTCATAGCAAGATGGTACTACATTTGATTATTTTTGCAAGATGTATGTTGACTACATTAGTGTGCAAATTAATTAGGACAGGAGTAAATTTTGGGATTATCTCATAATATGTCTTAGTTTCCGGCTTAAATGTGGTTTGGGTTCTTTTCTTTTCAAGAGAGTTTGCTATCGACTTCTGGCAACCGTCCAACTGTGGTGTAACGCTGAGACTCTCATCAGTGCTACAACAGCTGTTGTTCTCAAAGTCTATTCCTGCAGGCGTGCTTCGTGAGTGAATACGGTTTTTGCCAAATTCTCCCCTGTAATTCATGATTATTGCTGAAATTCATGAGGAATGTTACACCTAGGAAATGTGCAAGTATTGTAGCTCTTAAAAAACATGCTAATTTGAATATCAGATCGCCGAAAATTTGAGCCTAGCTAAGCCAACTGTTGGTCGGATTCTGAAGAGAGCTAATGACACTGGTGATTGTGGAGTTCTGCGTCGAGGAAGAAAATGCAAGACAACTCCTCACGATGACAAGTTTATTATAAAAAATAGTAAGAAGGGTCCCAGCAAAACCAGCAAAGATCTACAGAGAAATCTGGAGTAAATGTTGATTCTTCAACTGTTCAGCTGTTCAACTGGCGTAAACGTTGATTCTTCAATTGTTCAACGAAGGGTCCTTGAAGTTGGCAGAACTGCCAGAAAGCCAATAAAGAAATAATTGACTGCTGTTATGAAGAAAAACACGGCTGCGGTGTGCACTCGTTTATAAGGGATAGACGACAGATGAATGGAAAAAATTTATATTGTCAGATGAGGAACATTTTGGAGTACATGGGGTACATAACAGTGGTAGTGACGCGGACACATTCAACAACGCCAAAACACCCACCGAAGATGTTTTGGGGTAGTTTTATTGCTAAACGCCCTGGATGGCTTGTTATTGTTGAGGGAACGATGAACAGTGACAAATATTAGGCAGTCCTGGAAACTTTCCTGATGGAAAGGGCATCTTCCAGCAGGACCTTGCTCCATGCCACAGTTCCAGAAAAATTCTGACATTTATCGATGAGAGTGGGTAAAGCATTCTTAATTGGCCTGGAAACTCGCCTGACCTCAACCCAAATGACAATCTATGGGCAATAACTAAACGCAGGATCGTGAAACAGGACTGTTCAACTGTGGAGAAGCTAACTGCTGTTATTAGGACGTTGTACCACCACGAAGACCTTGCCAAAATGTGTTCAACGTTGGTCGATTCTATGCCAAAGCGTGTAGCAATAATTATGAAAGCAAAGGGTAGTCATATCTCTTATTAAATTAATTATCTGTCATATCATTGCCTTGTATTTGTCAAATAAAAATTAATTTCCAAATATATATGTTACCAGAAAGTAACAATTGTTTTTGATGGATATGAAGCAGATCCAACCACATATAATACGCCATATCTTCGTTGAACGAGAAGTACTATTTCTTGAAGTGAACTTTTCTATGGGATGACCATCAAGATAAAGAAGGTAATCTTCTCGACCAACAACACGGAGGTTCAGTATCATTTTCGGTGAGAAGATGCAGTAAAGTGGACGCACAGCTGTTCATGCAGGTGATGCCAGTTTGTTAATAGTCCAAACAGAAACAAATATTTGCTGTCATCTGTGCCGCTACCTTCATCGAAAAAGACACGCACTTCATACCGCTTTACTTTAGTGCTGACCTCAGTTCTTGCTAATCTGTTCGTTGGTTCAAACGATAAAAAATTCACCAAGACGCAAAAAATCTGGAACGTTCATTGGGCGTAACGCGCGGAGTCTAAAGATGTTCAGGGTGATTGCCACCTTGAGGTTTTATTTTTCGTTATATATCGTCCGATTTCATTCATTTATTTTACTGTTTGAATAAGGGTGCATAAAACATGGTCATGTAAAGTTTCATTAAGATCGATCAGCAAATTAATAAAAAAATATACTGAGAAATTGGATTTGGCAGCAAACGGGCACGCACTGGCACTGCCAAGAGTCTTTGAGACACTCCATACTGATAAAACAATGCTAAACCGATTTTATAAGATTTTGTTCGGATTTTTAACTTCAGAGGGTTAGCCACCCAGGATAACCAAGGCTGTGCGTTATCGAGGGGCTGTTTTTTTTTTCCATTGAGGTGAATAAGTTTATTCAGGTATACACAAATACAGTTACATAGATCATCATACATAGCAGCATATGTGTAGAGAACCTGGGATAACCCAAAAAAGTCAGAGTGACTTATTTCCATTGGGGTCCTTTTAATACCCTATTATGATACAATGTAGGAGATATCTTATTATTATAGTATAAAGGATATACAGTATATTAGGAATAAGGTAAACAGAGTTATTTAGATTTACATGTGTGTTACGCAAAAAAAAAAAAATATAAAATCATTCTCTTTCCTTTCTGTGGCTACATTCATTAGGTACCTTTTGGTTCTCGTGAACTTGGTCGTGCTATAACTGACTTTGACATGTGAAGGCAATCTGTTCCATTCTTTTATTGCTTTATTATTCCTTTATTGTAGGATGCGACGTACACCAGTCGACTAACACCCAGGTACCTACTTGCTAGATGAACAGGACAATAGGTGTAAGGAAACGCGTCGAAATGTTTCCGCCCCATCGGGAATCGAACTCGGACACCTCAGTGTAAAGCGAGAACCTTGCTAGCCAGGCCACGGGGCCTGGTAAATGCTATAATGTACTTTATTTTCATCTCTCCCCCCAAAAAGGTTAGCTGATCTTGACTCTATCATCATTACTGATTCTATGTCATCATTGAAGGCTCTTGACTCATATAATGACTCCAACAACATTCTCATTGGAGAAGCCAGGTACAGATACTCAAAAATTAGGGGCAAAGGAATTAATGTACAATTGCTATGGATCCCATCACACATTGGATTACTCCTTCATGATAAAGTTGATATGTTAGCCAAGAAGAGTACCCAGAAGGAGAATGTAGAATATAACTTTGGTATAACTGTGTCTAGCATTAGGAATAATATTAGGAGAGAAGCAAATAATGAAAATGATTGTTATTAGGAATGCAGTTAGAAGCCTGAGTAGATCTATAACCCACTATGATAACATGAACGTAGATAAGTATGTTTATGGAGCAACTTGCAATGTGAACAGACTGACTGATGTTGTAGTAGCCAGACTTAGGCTTGGTTACAAGTACTTCTGGCAGTTTGGGAGACACACAGATGATGATCAAACTAAATGTAAATTATGTGATCAGGCATATGGTCACTCTCTTGAACACTATGTGCTTAATTGTCCACTTATTGAGGAATACAGAGACAGACAGTATAATAACCTATGTGACATGTCAAGATATCTTATTAATGAAAATAAAATACCAGATATACTAAGCAAATTTCCTAAATTTGCTTGCAACAGATAAGTGAACTATAGATATGTAGATATAAATCCATATGTATTCCTGTTAACCCTTTGGGGCCTAGTTCCTGGGCCTTTTGTGTATCCATATGCTCTCGCGCTACCGTCCACAGGATGGATATGGGGTGCACAATAAACTAGCCACTTCGGTGGCAAAATCTAAAAATCTAATCCCCCCCAAAAATGTTTGTAAGTTTTTTATATTAGTATAATGTCTACCCTTTAGGCCCCCACAAATGCCAAAAAAATGAGCTATTACGAAAGATCTTTCACCAGTTTGTAAAGCATTCATTACTGAATGCATTTTATAAAATCCTTTCAATCCGTTCATTATTAATGGTTCCGTTTCAATAAACAGGTCAATAACTGACTTCCAAGATATCGAGGAATATACGGCCAAGCATATTACCTGGGAGAATTTTTTTTTCAGAGTGAAATTGCGCTATTTATGAGTTTTGACATATAAAAGAAATGTTCTTTAACAGTAACCCTTGTGATGCATAAGTTTTCTATAGTGTTAGTGGACTAAAGAGAACGTAAAATTATAATCTTATGGGTACACTGCTTTAGCGCTAGGTCGTCGACCACTCCTCAGAATATGTCAGTTTTTAATCATTTGGGTGTTTGTAACTAAAATGACTGTCTTCAAGAAGGCACTGGAAAGGCCAGCAGTAACAGCCTGGTTGATCAGACCCTGATTCACCACGAGACCTGGGGGCCGCAGGGGCGTTGACCCTCGAAACCCTCTCCAGGTATACTCCAAGTATAGTAAGTAAGTAAGTAAGTAAGTTTATTCAGGTATACACAGATACAGTTACATAGAATTATCATACATAGCAGCATATGTGTAGAGAACCTAGGATAACCCAAAAAAGTCAGACAGAGTGACTTATTTCCATTGGGGTCCTTTTACCTTATTATTATAATATAAAGGTTATA